TGTCTTTTTCTGGTTTTGGTAGCAGGGCAATGCTGGCCTCAGAATAAGCTTGGAAATGGTCCCTTTCTTTTCGTTTTTCTGGAAGACTTTCTGTACAATTGGTATTATTTCTTCCTTAAATGTTTGGTAGAACTTAGCAGTGAAGTTATTTATGCCCTGAGTTTCCTTGGTGGGAAGGTTTTTAACAAAAAATTTAATTTCTTTACTAGATATTGGGATGTTCAGGTTTTCAGTTTTTTCTTTACTGAGTTTTGGAAGTTTGTGTCTTTCAGGGAATTTGCCAAAAGAATTTATTGGCAGGAAGTTGTTCATTATATTCTTTTAATGTCTGCAGAATCTGTAGTGGTGCCCCCTCTCATTCCTGATACTGGCATTTTGGGTCTTCTCTCCTTTTTTTCCCGATCAGTCTGGCTAGAAGTTTATTAATTTTATTTATCTTCTCAAAGAATTAGCCTTTGGTTTCAATGATTTTCTCTATTGTTTTTCTATTTCATTGATTCTGCTGTTATTATTTCCTTTCTTCTGCTTACTTTAGGCTAAACTCATTCTTCTTTTTCTAGTTTCTTATTGTAGAAGCCAAGGTCATTGATTTAAGACTTTTATTTTCTAATACAGCTGTTTAGTGCTATCAATTTCCCTTTAAGCACTGCTTTAGCTATAGCTCACAAATTTTTGTTTCATGTTTTCATTTTCATTCAGTTTTAAATAACTGCTAACTTTCCTTGAGACTTCCTATTTGACTCATATTTTGTTGTTATTAGTTGCCATTGATTCCAACTCATGGTGACCTAAAGTGTGCAAAGTAGAACTGCTCCATAGGGTTTTCAAGGCTGTGAACTTTCAGATTGCCAGGCCTGTCTTTCAAGGTGCCTCTGGGTGGGCTCAAACCGCTAGTGGTCAAGCACTTAACCATTTGCTCCAACATTTAAGCATTTTCCATATATCTATTATTAATTTAACTCCATTGTGGTCAGAGAACATACTTTGCATGACTTGAATCCTTTAACTCCATTGAGATTTGTTATATGACCCACGTATGGTAAAAGTTCATTGCGCACTTGAAAAGAATATGTTTTCTGTTGTTGCTGGATTGTTATGTAAATGTCAATTAGGTCATTTATTTTGTTGTTGTTGTTCAATTCTTCCATATTCTTAATGATTTTCTGTCTCCTAAGTCTATCAATCGAGACAGGGGTTTTGAAATCTCTAAAATTAGGCATTTGTCTATTTCTCCTTGAAGTTCAGTTTTTGCTTCATGTACAGTGAAACCTGTGAAGTCGGAACTCGACGGGGCAGCCTTGTTTTTCTGGGTCTCACAATTACACCTTTGACAGGGTGCAGTCTTACCACTTTTATATATATTGTTTTAGTGGAAAATATTTGAGTTTTCCTTCTCTGACAGGTTTTTGCCTTACACAAGTTCCAGCTTTCATAGGTTTTATTTTGAAGCTCTGTTATTAGATGTATATATATTTAGGATTGATTTATTCTGATGATGAATTAACCACTTTATCATTATGAAAAATTCCTCTTTATCTCTGGTAATATTCCTTGCTTTGCAATCTACTTTGTCTGATAATATACTCACTCTAGCTTTTTAAAAATTACTGTTAGCATAGTATATCTTTTTTCTACCTTTTATGTTTAATCTATGTTTGCATTTTTATATTTAAAGTGGGTTTCCTATAGGCAGCATACAGTTGGGTCTTTAAATATTTTTTCCCAATCTTCCAATCTCAAGTTTTTTCATTGGATTGCTGTAAGACCACTAATTTTAATGTCTATTGATATAATTTTGCTTAAATCTACTACCTTGCTATTTGTTTTTATCTGTCCATCTATTTTTTGCTCCCTTTCCCCTCTTTTTCTTCCTTCTTTTGGATAAATTGAGTATTTTTATTATTCTATTTTTATGTCCTCTGTTAGTCTATTAGCCATATGTCTTGTATGTATGTGTGTGTTTGCTTTAGGGTTTATAGTAAACATCTTTAACTTGTCACAATCTACCTTCCAGTAATATCGTACCATTTCATGTATAGTATAAGAATTTTACAACAGTATACTTCTATTTCCTCTCTTCTTATCTTTGCTCTATTGTTGTCATACATTTCACTTCTATATGTCTTAAACCCCATAATACATTGTTATTATTTTTGCCTTAAACAGTCAACTATCTCTTAGGTTGATGGGTTTATAGCTTTCATCAAATTTGGAAAAGTTTTGTCCATATTTTCTTCAAATATTTTTCTATTGTCCTCTCTCAACCAAGTTTTTCCAGTCTGGTTGATGGCAACATGACCTATTCCTAACGTTGTGTGAGCCCCAGAGGTTGTTCCACTTGCTCCTTTCCAGTCGTTCTTTCCCTGGTCTTCGGTCGTTTCCTCACATTCATACACAGAACAGTAATCAGCTAAAGACTCAAAGGAACCCTCTGCAGATCTCCAGAGCTCTCTCTCTCTCTCTCTCCGTTTAGCCCTCTCCTCTGTGGTTCCCTTCCCTGTGAATTTTAGCTGCCCTGGCCTCCCTGAATATTCTACTCTGTGTCTCCTAAACTCAGGGAGTTGGGTTTCTCCCCCTGCACAATGACTTTGAAATTCTTTCCCGGTAGTAAGCTGGAGAAATCACAGGGATCACCTCATTTTATCTTCCTTCTCTTAGGAATCACTATCATATGCTGCTTGTGATCCAATGTCTGAAGACCACTGTTTCATATATTTTTTCTATTTTTTGAGTTGTTAAGGTGGAAGGGTCAATCTGCTCACTGTTACTCCATCATTGCTGGTAGCAGAAGTCCTCCATGTTTTGTGCTTTTTGTACTGATTTGTTCTTTATATTATAGACATTAACCTTGTCTTTCATATGTGTGCCAAATATGTTCTTCTACTTTATCACTAATCTTTTAATTTTATTTATGGTACATTTTTTCATAAAGAAGTTTTTAATTTTTATATTATCAAATCTTTCATTCCTTTCCTTTGAGGTTTATATCATGTTTATAAAAGCCTACCCTATATTTTCTTCTAAATCATCATTTTTAAAAGAAGAAAAATAACTCTTTAATTTAAGTGAGTTTTATTTTTAACATCAACTTAATTAATTATAAAAGTAATACATGCACAAGGTAAAAACATCAAATAGAACAGAGGGTTACATGATGAAAATGAAAAACTCATTTCCTCTTCTCACCACCACCCCTACTTGCCAAATTACTCTTGCCAGAAGTAACACAATTAGCAATTTCTTATGTATAGCCTTTCATACATTTTCTGGGCACATACATACACATGCATATACGTCCTTTTGTACACAAACAGGATACACACACACACACACACACACACACACACACACACACAGAGTTCTACAATTTTTCACTTAACATTATATCTTTGTGTTCTTAATGTTAATGAGTGTTATCAGACGCTTTCCAGTCTGATAGAAGGACCAGGGCAGTCAGAGAACACATTAGGGAAAGCACACAGGAAAAGGCATATTCATCTCTGTAAAGTCAACACTTAGCACAAAACCTGGCACATAATAAATGCTCAATAAATATATGTTAAGTAACCGAAGGGAAAGAAGAACTTGAGAAAGCTGGAGACAAACTTCTATCTTAACCATTATTCTCTGGCCAGACCTGGTCTCCTTACTGAGAATTACCATCTCTCAGGGGGATGAAGAACAATACACGATGATATACAACACTGGTGAGGAAATGTAGCAGCTGGGCTCTTCTACAACCTCTGGCCTGGAATAACTTCTCATTGTGTGTTTCTTCCCCAACTAGATTCATTGCCTCCAGCACACATATTTAGTTCAAATGCACAGTTCACGTTGACTACACAGCAAAAAAACCTGGGAGCTCAAAGACTACACAGTTGAGTTATATTACAGGTACACACTGATAAAAACAGCTACCATTAATTGGTACCTACTGTGTGGTAAAGGAGCCCTGGTGTCTCAGTGGTTAAAGCACTCAGCTGCTAAATGAAAGTTTGGCAGTTTGAACCCACCAGCCCTTCCGCGGGAGAAAGATGTGGTAGTCTGCTTGCATAAAGATTTACAGCCTTGCAAACCCTATGGGGCAGTGACTCTGTCCTATAGGGTCGCTATGAGTCGGAATCGACTCAACGGCAATGAGTGTTTTTGGGTACTGTGTAGTAGGCACCATGTTGGCAACAACAGCCCCTGCAAATGTAATATCATTTATCCTCATTTTATAGAGGAGAAAATTGAGGTTCCAAGAATCCAAGTAACTTGTTCAGGGTTACAAAGATAGTTAAGTAGTTTCCAGAAACAACTCTACACTTGAATCAGGTCAGCCTACTTTCTGTTGATCCCACACTACATTCACTCCTATTGCACTAACCAAAACCAAACCAAACCTGTTGCTGTCTAGTCAAATCCAACTCACAGCGACCCTATAGGACAGAGCAGAACTGCCCAATAGGGTTTCCAAGGAGCAGCTGTGGATTCAAACTGCTGCCCTTTTGGTTAGCAGTCGAGCTCTTAACCACTGCGTCACCAGGGCTCCCCTATTGCACTGACTGTGCTATTTTCCTTGCCTGGTGTTCCCTTTCTCCACTTGTCTCATTGGTGTTTCAGGAAGCTAGACAAAGATATAAACAGAGGGTTGTGTAGGATCCGTGCTAAGCTATGCAAGGTGCTGTCAGGCATGAGGAGTCAGTCAATCATAAGTAACCATGAACAAATACAAGTACACTGGGGAAGTACCAAAAGTTGAGGAAGGGAGTTGACTGGAAATGGAAGACCACACTCTCAAGAAATTCTGATGCAAACATTTCTCTCTCTCTAGGTGCTTTGTGGTGGGCTGCTCACAAGCACAGCCTTGTTGTCCCGCAGTCTTAAAGCCACTGGCCAGTATATCACCACCTATCTAAATCCAACTCATTCTTTAAGGAGGCCCACATCAAGTTTCACCTCTTCCATGAAGTCTTTCCCTATTAATCCAACTCATTACTCTCTTTCTCAAATTTTACAGTTTTACTTAAAATCAGCACCATAAGATATAGCATGTGTTTGTATATTCTCTTGTTCTTTAATCATTTCAAAAAGCTTGTTTCTTAAGTAGACTCGTTCATGTGTCTTTTTTCTATTTTTTTCCCTACATGGTCTGGGAGTTGGGAGATATGGCTGGATTCCAGTCCCAACTCTCCCACTAACTAGCTGTGTGACCTGGAGCTAGTTACAACCTCTCTGAGCCTCATCTGACCACCTTAGAGGTTCTTGCAAAAAAGCATAATAAACACTGTAACACAGTATAAGAACATAAGATATTATTACTGCTGAGGACAACTGAGCTAAGGTGCTTTTGCCATCCTACTTAGTGGATGGTTCTATGTAAGAAATAGAAATCACTGCTGCTTGTTTCACACTAGTGTCCTCCGCAAAGGTTAACAGGTTTGAAACAGGAATACTGTACAACTGTTAAAGATGGTGCCAGACAGAGGGGGTCTATATGCAGTCAATTCTTTCGGAACTTTCCTTAGAAATTACCAGGTGATTCCAGGCTTGCTCATTTTTAAAGCTTCCATCTTTCTAAATGTTTCTTCATGTAAATGATCCGTGTCAATGCTATAAAAAAGGAAAAAAAAAAATCTGTGTCAAGCCAAGCCAACAGATGCCTGCACTAGCTCTCCTGTTCTTAAGGATAAGATTCCCATTCATACATATCCATAGCACCACTTAGTTATTTTATCCACTCGGTTACTGACCTCCTCTTCCATCCTTAGTCCCTTTCCTTGAGTCTCAAAAGTTAAAATATATAATCCTCTTGGATTCTCACTCCCATCCCCTACTGCCTTGACCAAGGCCCTGCTCCATTAGTTCATTAGTTCCCGCTCCTATATCTGCAACTTCTCCCTCTCTATGGGCTCCTCTCTCTCAGTCTACAAACGTGCCTATATCAAAACAAAGTGAAAAAGAAAAACTCCCTCCTCCTTCCCCTGGTCCCACAACTTACTCTAGCTATGATCTCACATCTCTCTTCCTTTCACAAACTTCTTGAAAAAGTAGTCTCTGCTCACTTTCTCCACTTCCTTATCTCCTAGCTCTTCAAGTCACTGCAATCTGGTTTCTGGTCCCACCACACCACTAAAACAGTCCTAGAAAAGGTCACCGATGTTCTCCTAATTGCTAAATCCAATGGATATTTTTCAGTACTTATCCTATTGAACCTCTCTGCTACGTGTGAACACTTCCTCCTTGAAATTCTCTTTTCCCTTGGCTTGCACGACACCACTCTCTCCTGATTCTTGCCACAACATCCTGATCTTTCCTTCTTCTTGGTATATTTCATGGGTTTTCCTTCCCATAGTCATCTCTTAAAAGCTGGTATTGCCCAGGACTTACTCCCCAGAGATATTCCTCAGAAAGTCTTCTCTTCTCACTCTCCCTAGGGGATCTCATTCATTGTCATGGCTTTAGCTATCATTTCTACATAGATGATCTCTTCCTATATCCAACTACCTACACACTAGAAAACTTCACAAGCATCCAACAGGCACTTCAAACTCAATATGTGTTTGGGTTTAATCCCTGATTAAAACCCACTGACAACAAAAGAAGGTTGAAGGTCTTTAAAGTGTTCAGTGAGGTACAGTTTTAGTTCTCAATGGAGAAAAGTTAATCTTTATTAAAGTAAAATGAGTGACCCTATTATTTTTCAATTATAGGGCAACAGGCTTCTAATGCCTTGGAAGTGGTGTGATACAGGAGTTTCGGAATTTTTTGAGTGTACTTAGCCAAAGTTGTGTTACCTCCTGATATGTAGCACTCATTGTTGGGGAGGTAGTGAGCCAATATGTTTAAGAAGCCCAGAGATCTTCTGGGAGTTAAGAGGCCAGTTACATTTAACCCCTTCTTTCCAAGTTTAGAATTAGGAACATGTATCAGGGTGAGCTAGGGTGGCTTTATCCAAGGCCCAGTCCCTGAGAAAGGTACCAAAGCCCCTAAAATAAAATTACCTTGAAGAAATAGAAAATCTTAAAGGGCGCTCCTTGATCAACACAAGGGCCTACATCTTTGTGGATAAAGGCAGGTTTCAGCACATATGTGCCTGTGGCGGATTCTGGGAACTCCTTTAGATCCAGCCATCATAACACATATGGTACTTTACAGAACAATGGCTGCACATTTGGGCGTGGGCTGAGAGGATCCTAGAGCCCACGTATAATGCCACTGCAGGGCTGGCAGGGATCTGGACCAGTCACCAAGCTTCTGTTGGACTGTGTAGGATCAGTTCTCAAGATCAAGCCCATGTGGCAGTGAGAAACAACAGCAGTGGACTGATTCTCCACCCAACTTTGGAAGCAAAACTGGCCCTGTCTTTGGGGCCAGTTTTGGAAAGGTGGAGTGGGGAGAGGCCCAAAACTGTACTATTAATATAGTATGTGAGAAGAAGAGAGATGATTGAATTTGCACCCAGGATTCTGCTAGCAAGTCTTTCTTATTACACAAGGTATACATAGCCCTGCCTACCTCCCCAGCCTTATTTTTTAAAATTGTTGTAGAAATATATGTAACACAACATTTGCAATTCAATGTTTTTCATGTGTACAACTTAGTGACGCCAATTCCATTAACCATGTTGTGCAACCATCACCAATATCCATTGCAAAATTTTCCATCACCATAAACAGAAGCTCAATGCTTCCCAAACAATGACGCCCCCTTTGCCTCTCCCTCCCTGACACATCCTGCTTTGCACTTTATGCTCCAACAACACCAAACTGCTTGGAGATCTCCCACCCCTATCCCTATTGCATACCATAAACCATGCTGTTCACTGTCTGGGTGCCTTTGCTCATGCTGTCTCCTAAGTCTGAACTACCTCTTTCCATCCCTAACTCCATCTTCCCTGGCAACAGTGCTAAGACTCAACTCAGGTGGCCTTTCCTCCAAGAAGCTTTTCCTGACCATCTCGGGCTATGTTAAGTGTCCCCTGCCATGATCCTCTTAAGAGAATCACTGCATTAGAATAATCAGTATATGTGCCTGTATCTACCACTAGACCCACTAGCTCAAGAGCACAGATCACGTCTCCTATCTTATTCATCCTTGTCTCCCCACCACCTGGCACAAGTGCCTGGCACATAATAGGTGTTCAACAAATACCGCTGAGTGAATGAAGGTAAGCTTTGTCACTCTGAGGACACAACCTCTTCTTTCCCCGTGACATTCTGAATGTCTACACATCTAGTCTTTATTGAGCATACTATTAGCTGTCTCCTTGCCTTGCCCCCAGATGCTCTAAATTATTTATTATTCTATGTACTTATAATATGCACAGCACTGTGCCAGGAAGTTTACAGTGCAAGATGCACTTAAGAATGAGATTCAGATCCTGTACTCAAGCAGCTCTTAGGAAATAACCTTCTTCCTCAAGCTTTTTCAATTTCCAGAGAAGACTATCCCTTCTAGGAGGCTCTCCTGGATCCAACTCCTCTCCAGCCCACCATCACATTAATTGACCCATATCTTCCTCTTACCTTACTTGTGTAAATACATATTTTTATAGATTTCAGTTTTGTCTAATATGCATTCTAACATTCAAAATTTGAGGCCAGTTAATTGTGTCTATTCTCATTCATTCTTTCTCTCTCTGTGCGTGTATGTGTGTGTTTGTAAGCTATTATTGCCCACTGCTATTGACTTTTTGATTTATAAGTTATAAGGGTTTGAGGAGTGGCTTGAAAATACAATGGAAGCATACTGGTTAAAAGACAAAGAGAGATCAAGAGAAATAGGAAATGGTGCAACAATTTACAACAGAACAACAAATAATAGCATGCCATCACGAACAAAATAATTTCTCCTTGCTGTCATGTAGGACCTTTGCTGCAGCACACACGCTGGGGAGTGCTACAACAATAAATTACTCTCCATTTAAAGAAACATTAGGGTTGATTGTTGAGTGTGTTTCAACCTGCTGACAATACAAACTCCAGCTGCCTCTTTCTGAGAAAGACACCGTGGAGGCCCCTGACTTCTAAGGTTTATCAAGTTGTGAATAAGTCCCTGTGCTGAGCAGTAATCACTGCACTCTTGAGCACTTGAAACAAACAGAGTTCACTTAGCTAGTACAGACCTAGCTTCTGTTTCAGCCAGACTTATAATCAGGTCTTGATTCTGTTTTCATTTAAGCTTCAATCTATTAAATTGGCTTTGGAATGTGGAATTCTTGCACTCAGCTTTTATTTTCCATTATGTGTTCCAATTCTGAATGCCAGAAACAAATGGTCATTTGGCCACTGGTTAGCTGCCCACAGAGCACATCTGTATCCTAATTAAGAATTACTTTGTGTGTCATGCCAGCCTGCTGAGCTGGCAGGCAGACACTGACCAGAGAGAGTCAAAACCGCCACCTTCTGTAATTGTGCCATTACAGCTTTATGCCTTTGAGTCTCGAAAACTCTCAAAATGCAAATATTAAGTCCTCTAGCAGGTGTCAGAAGAGGAAAAGGGAAAAGGGCCTAACATTTGTTGAGCGCCTACTATGTGCCAAGGATTGTACTAGGTACATTCACAATTGTTGTCTCACTTAATTCAATCTCCACATTAACCCCCGGTGGTTAATTAGTATTAGCCTCATTTTACAGACAAGGATACTGATGTTCAGAGAGGTAATGTAACTTGCCCATGGTCATGTAGCTAGTAAATGCTTGACCTAGGATTTAAGTCAGGCCTAGTGGAATCTACATCCTGCTCTTTTTTCCTACACCAAGCTGCTTCCCTTAGCAATGAGATACAGCGCTGCCTGTTCTCTGCCTCTCTCTCTGCTACCATGTCCAAGAAGGAAAGGCCTTAGTTTGCTATCTTGCCTAGGCTTGGCCTGCCCTCAGCTTTTCTTCTCCTTCCTCACTGCAATGGGCTATAACCAAACCCAACATGCCTGCCCTGACCACCTCCCTGCCACTCCCCCCATCACAGTGACTTACTAGAATGTCTGTAGTTTACATATTGGATGAATCAGTGCATCACACAACATTTGCACTCCCAAATCCCTGAGGTCATTTCCACTTAAGTCTAGCAATGTCAGGTTCTCATTTCTGTTGAGGACAGAGGCGAGGGCTCCACAGCACACATCTGTGAGATGACATTCTGCTAACCTACGAGGGATTGGGGATTCAAGAAAAACATCAGTTTGGCCCCAAGTCCCACAGTGGTCTCCCGTTTCATATATAACCTGGAGCAAGAGCCCAATGGCCACAGAGCTCCTGTGAACTTACCACAAGGTCTGTAGTTTGCAGCAGGGGTGTTTCAGCCCTTCACACAGCACCTGCATGCCCTCATCCCCTAAGGCATTGTCACTGAGGTCAAGGTCTCTCAGATGTTCATTGGTGTAGAGTGCATTGCACAAATCCTGACAACATGCTCCAGTCAGGTGACAAGTCCACAATCTGCCAGGAAGTAAGGTAGAGAAGGCTGGCATCATTTCATCTCTACTTGGTCTCTTTAGGAATTGTGTTTGCCCACTACAAAAGCACTTTAGAAAAATCAGTGCCATGTTAAAAAAAGAAAAAAAAAAAACCTTTCGTCAGGCCAAGCGAAGACAGTATAGAGGGTAAGCTTTATTCCCCCTAAATTATTTAGCTCTTCATTTATTGCTTCCTTGGAGATGCAATCGTCAGACCAAAATACTCATTTAATTTTAGGATTTTACTGAAATGTCAGAAAACTGCCGGCGACTCTAGTCCACGATACTTACGCCAGATCCTTTAACTGACAATCAGGCTGTTTCAGTCCTTCACACAGCAGTTTCAGTCCCGAATCTTCAATTTTGTTATTAATTAGAAGCAGCCTTGTCAGACTATGGGTGGAGCTTAGGACTTGGGCAAGTGGCTCACAACAAGTGGCAGAGAGGGAACACTCGGAAAGCCTGAAGGGATGGGGACACCAAGGTAGCTGTTAACAATGGCAGCAGGGAGTCCTAATGGACCCTAATGCCAAGGCCCATGAGAAGGATAAGAACAGGAAAACACTTACACCAGATTCTCAACTATACCCTTCGCACTTCGCAGACCTTCGCAGAGATGCTGTACTCCTGTGTCCCCCAGGGCATTGGCAAACACGAATAGCTCTTTTAAAGTCTGATTCACTTGCAAGAAAGAAGAGAGCTCCACACAGCTAGCATCCGTGAGGGAACATGTGCTCAAGCTACTCAGAGAAAAAGAGAAGAAATATCAGCCACTGCTGTCATTTCGGCTTCTTGAGAATGTTCTCCTAGCTTCCTCACTTAGCTTAGTCCCAGCCATTCATCCTTCAAGTTCCAGCTCCTGCCCTACCTCCTTCACAGAGTTCCTCCTGATGTCTCCAGCCCACAGTGACTTCCTCCTCTGCCCTTGGCTCATCTGGTGTTTCTAAATGATTCTACACTGGTTTGGCACTTGATTACACATTGAATTGTGTTGCTCTCCAATTGTTTCATATCTGTGTGTCCTTAAGGGCAGCCTTGTCACTTGTATTTCTGATAACTCCATCCACATCTAGCCTAGTGTTTCATGCATAGTAGGTATTCTATATATTTAATTAGTATCATTTGTGTAAATATATAGGGCTGTGGTATACTGGAAAGAGTATGAGATTTGGAGACAGATTTTAGAGTTACATCCTGACTGCACCACTTAGCTGTATGACCTTGGACAAGTCACTTTCTTCTCCTGAGCCTCAGTGTCCTCATCTGCAAAATGCGGATTAAAAATCCACCTTATATGGTTAATGTAAGGAGTGAATGAAGTGATATGACTTCTGACAAGCACCAAACATGAAGCCTGGTACACAGTAGGCACTCAACAAGTTCAGCAGTCGTAAGATGATGCCAGAGTGTTCTGAGAGACTTACTCTAACTTCTCCATTTTACAGTTGGAATGTCTGAGACCTTCACAAAGAAACTTCACCCCTGTGTCTCCCAGGGGATTTTCACTCAGGTCCAGCTCAGTGAGGTTTGAGTTGCAAATGAGAACAGAGGCAAGATACCTGCAAACAGCCTCTGAGCTTTCTGGGAGAAAGCTAGCACCCAACCTGGAAAGAAAGATATACAGAGATAGAATTGGCCACCTTAGTGCCTTACTAACTCCCTACCAATAATACCACATGAGCAGAGAAAATAAAGACCCACTGATACAAGGCCCCCAACTTTGAATATGTCACAGCTTCCTCACCCGCATGGGAGCAACTTGTATAACGCTTCCAAAACAATGTGTCCCACAGTGGGAACTCAATAAATGTGAACAGACTGCCTGAGAGAAGAAAAGAGTTGAGAGGAAACATCGAGCTGACCTAATCTCATTTCAATTCCACGTATGAATTTAGCTGTCTACCTCATATCCTCTTAAATCCCAGAAGGAAAAGTCTGTAATTATCCTTAAAAAAATTTACAGTCGAAAGATCTTTCCTTTTCTCTTATCCAAATGTCCATGATTAATTTTAAGTGCCATCCTTAGAGAGATCCAGCCCATCACTATCATCCACATAATATTGGCACGGAGAGGTTTTTACTGTCTTCTCAACCTTTGTTTCTCCATATTAAGTAGTCCAATTCCTTGAACCATTTCCCATCAACTTTTTCTTCCATTATTTTCAATAATTTCTGTGATATGCACTACAACCTTTGAGTTCTCAATTTTCTCTTGAGTTACCAGGCTCCAAACTCAGTCTTGAAGAGGGCTCATGAGGAGATGTATTTATAGCTCCCAATTTAGAAGTTTTAAATAGAGGCACTTTGCATAAAATAAGTTTTCAAGGTGGATTTTAGAAAACTTTAAAAAAATGTTGTGTCTCAGGTGAAAGTTTACAGCACAAACTAGTTTCTCATTCAAAAATTTATACACAAATTGTTGCAATCCCCACAATGTGTCAGCACTTTCCCCCTTTCCACCCAGGGTTCTCCGTGTCCATTTGTCCAGTTTTCCTGTCCCTTCCTGCCTTCTTGTCTTTGCTTTTGGGCAAGTGTTGCCCATTTTGTCTTGTATACTTGATTGAACTAAAAAGGACGTTCCTCACGTGTGTTACTCTTTGTTTCATAGGCCTGTCTAATCTTTGGCTGAAAGGTGGACTTCGGGAGTAGCTTCAGTTCTGAGTTAGCAGGGTGTTCAGGGGCCATAGTCTCAAGGGCTCCTCCAGTCTCTGTCAGATCAGTAAGTCTGGTCTTTTTTTGTGAATTCAAATTTTGTTCTACATTTTTCTCCCGCTCTGTTCAGAACCCTCTATTGTGATCCCTGTCAGAGTGGTTGGCAGTGGTAGCCGGGTGATTTTAGAAAACGTTAATGCTAAAGAGCTTTTGTTTAAAAAAAAAAAAAACAACACACACGCATATGATAACAAAGTTTTGATTAAGGTAACTACCATGGGCTTTGAAGTCAGACACATCTAGGTTTCAAACTGTGCCTTTGTCATTTTTAGCCTGGTGATGTTGGATCTCGATTTCCTCATCTGGTAAAATGTGGCTAAGAATCTGAATCGCTCAGAGTTGTTGTGCAGAGTAAAGGAGATCATGTACACAAAGCACTCAACACAATGTTTAGTACAAACTATGCATGCAATAAGTCTGGGTTATTATCTTCATTGATGTTACCGTCAGTTAAAATGAGAATTCTCTTACTAAGCTTGTTGCATAGGGATACTTTTAGGGACTGCCACTTTCATTCTCCCTCTCCATGACTCCTTGCAACGTGTCTTCATCATACAACATCCATCTTGAGTCACATAATTAAAAAAATTTTCTTGCAGAATGGAAGCTAACAGTTACAACTTACTTGAGCTTCTGTAATTTGCAATTTGGATCTTTTAAGCCTTCACAGAGAAATTTCACAGCTGAAGCTTCCAGTTTTGTTTCAGAAAATTCCAACTCGGTGAGCCACTGATTGGTGCTAAGAACAGCTGCTAGTGCCCCACAAGAAGCAGGAGAGATAAGGCATCTGTAGAAGCTTCAGAGAACAGAAGAATGACTTCATTACCTTATTCATGCTTTCCCCTCAAACAAATAAAAACTGACAAAAAATGGTATGAACACAGACATCAAATTCTCCAGCTATCAGTTACCTCAGTGTATGTAACACACAGTTTGGCTGTTTCAATCCTTCACACAGAAGCTTCATTCCCGAATCTTCCAGGGTATTTTTTACAAATTCCAAATCCGTCAAATACTGGTTAGCTTCAAATACTAAGGAGAGGTCCCTACCACAAGAAGCTGTGAGGTGGCAGAAAATCAGTCTGTGAGGAGAAAAAGATATTTCAGAGAAGAAAGAAAATAAGGCTCTCTTTGAATGTACTTGTTTGCATCTTACTGATGTAATGAAACCTTTCAATTAATTTGACAATTATTTATGGGGTGCTTACCACTGTGCTAGACGCTGGGAAAACAGAGATAGTTAAGACACAGACTCTGATCTCAAGGAATGCCGTCAATGGGGAAAAAAATGAGAAAGTGTGAAAGGTGCTGCAACTGGTATGCACAAGGTATGCACTGGTATGAGAAAGTGTGAAAGGTGCTGCAACTGGTATGCACAAGGTATTACAGGGCCACAGAAAGGTGGCACATAATTCAGCCTACCTTGGGATGAGGTTTGGAGAATAGAGAATACTTGTAAAAGGAAGAAACACTTGAGTACTGTCATGAGAGGGGACTAGAAATTGAAATAGGTACATGATGAAAATGGGAGCAAAAAAAGAGGGAGGAGCTGAGGGGCAAACCATACACCAAGCAGCCTGTGCAAAGGCCAGGAGTCAAGTGCCTATTTAAAAAGACTAGAAGGATAATATCAAACTATTAACAGGGTTATCTCCCAGGATAGGGGAAGGGTAGGATTACAGGGAGACATAAAACATGTAAGTAATTAAATCAAAGGTAATCAAAACTTATTTACAATGATCAGATGTTATCAGAAAACAAGTTCCTTTTTATTTTGAAAAACAATACATCCTTATTATTTTCACAAGAGTAAAATGTAAAGAACAAAGTAGGGAAAAAATACCTACATTCCCATCATCCAGAGACAATCACTGTTAAAAATTTGGTGTATATCTTTCTAGATTTTTAATGTATGCATACATATAGAGTTATATGTTCATTATAAGAAATGAAATCATAGAAAGATGCATGTTTAAAAGTTAAAAACTTTCTCCCAACTTCCCCTCCAACCCTACCTCCCAAATATAACGAACGTTAACAGTCTGATATATATCCTCCCACTCCTTTCTCCAAGATCATAAAAATATGCATATATATACATACATATATACATGATTTGTTGGTACATTTTACATAAATAGGATCATAAAAATTATGACTTCTTTAATTTCACATGCACTGTCTCATTCAGTCCCGATCATAGGTCGATATATTCAGTTATACACAAAGTCATAGTAAGTGGCAAATACAGGACTCAACCTGAGGCCTGCCTGGTTTATCCTACATGCCTCAAAAAACCACTGAAGGTTGTAGGAGACATGGTCAGATCCCTTTTATCATGGGGCACGGCAGGGTACAGATTTGATGTTAGGGTGCTGCAGTGGTCCAGGGAAAAGATGAGGGTGGCTGGACTAGGATGGTGTGGGGGTGGAGGGGCAGAGATGAATAGATTCAAGACAAAATTACGAGGATTTATGACCATTTAGGACGACTGTAGTGTTCAATGCTGAGCCAACGAAGGGATGGGGCTGTTCCCTGGTTCCACCCTCTGTCTCCAAGGGGCTGTCCGAGATCCCTGAGGGATTGGGACTATTTCCTGTTCTAGAACATTCCACCTACAGGACGGCCCCGTTTGCGTAGAACCAACCATTATGAGGGGGGTGTGTGCTTTTTTACTTGATTACAGGCGCTTTATTTTCTTGGTTCTAAGTCTTTTCTGATCACTCTTGTTTTTTCCTGACATCTAGTGCTTTTGGACTGGCAGCCGCATCCCTTATGTCCTGGGTTGGGGGAGGAGGCCTTTCTCATGCACTCCCACCCACCCCCGCAGTCTCTGGAAGTTGGAACAGTCCCAGGGTAGCCGCCTGGTGGGTTGGCCCTGAGGCTTCCTTTCCCCGGAGGCTTTGGAAGGAGAGAGGTGCCTTCTCTCGGTGGGCGTGGTAGGCAGGGCGTGGTTGGCCTGCACCTCCTCTGGTCCTGGAGAGGTAAAGCCTGGGGGGAGGTGTCCTAGGGCGAGGCAAGCCGGTCAGGGCGTCATTCCAAGGGTCGGAGGCGGAGGGGGGTGGGAAGGGGAAGAGAGAACACAACAGATTGATCCTTCCCCGCAGGGCCAGCAAAGCTGCTAAGGGCCTCAGCCCTCATGGCCTTGAACCCTGAGGACGCCTGTGGTGGGTTCCACCACGCCAAGGTGGTGGCCTTCATCAACGAGAAGATGACCGGGCACGTGAAAGGCCCCGAGTTCTACCTTGAGAATATGTCCTTGTCCTGGGAGGAGGTGGAGGACAAGCTCAGGGCCATCCTGGAGGACAACGATGTGCCCAGCGAGGCCAAGGAGGCCTGCGCCTGGGGTGGCCTGGCCCTGGGCGTGCGCTTCGCCCGCAGGCAGAGCCAGTTACAGGGGCGCAGGGTGCAGCGGCTGCACGACTTCGCCAAGCTGCACAGGTCGGCTGCACAGGCCCTGGCCGCAGACCTGAAGGAGCTCACTGCGCAGCAGGAGCTGGAGCGCAAGGAGGCGGCCTTTCAGCTGCAGCTGCTCCAGGCCTCCCTGGCGGAGGTGCAGAAAGAGAGGGACCGGCTGAGGTGGAAGCTCCTCCAGGCTGTAAGAACAGCTCCCAGTCCGGGTAAGCCCCTCCCCCGGCCGCAAAACCCCTCCCCCGGCCCCACAAGCCCGTCCCCTTCCGCCCTCTAACCCCACCCTCCACCACCACTCCTTGGCCCCTCCCTTTGTCCCCAGAACGGGTCTCAACTCTGCCCCCTTCTCCCCAGGAACTGCAGCAGCCCTTGGAGCAGGCCACAGGGTGGCCAAGACTGGCCACTGCTGGTGGGGCTGGGACGGAAGGAGAAGGCGAGGAGGCACAGGAGGAGGTGGCCACATGGTGGCCAAGCCTAGCCACTGCCGATTGGACTGGGGCAGAAGGAGAAGGCAAGGAGGAAGAGGAGGGGGTGGCTGCTGCTGCTACCACTTCTGCTGCTGATGCCACAGAAGGAGAAGAGGAGAGGGATGCGGCAGGGGCTGCCACCGCCCCTGCTACCGAGGCGGCACAGGAGCTGGGTGGAAGCTTCCTGCAGCTTCTTGGAGCTGTGGAGCAGAAAAATTTCACCTCTGGAGGGCAGAGGGAGGGCGAGCTCAGGTTAGTGGAAACAGCTATGTTTGATTTCTCTGGGGCCGAGAAACCTGAGCCCACAGTCTCGCCGGCAACCCTTCCTGTCCAACTCCCTGCCTCATTCACATACTCATACTCATGCCCCTTATCCCCATTCCCAGACCCACCCACACCCATACCATCCCCACCAGCAGCCACGTTCACAGCAGCAGCTCCACCTCAGACGGCTGCCCATTGCGGGGCTTCTGATGTTAATGTTTGGCCTGATGTGGGGACCCAGGGAATAGATCCTCAAGAACCCCAAAGAAGCAGGAGAGACCCTGAATCCCATCAGCAGAGAAGGCCTCCAATAGTGCGCAGGCTGGGGGATTGGGACTGCCCTTGGTGTAAAGCTGTGAATTTTTCACGGAGGAAAATTTGCTTCCGCTGTGGGAGGGGAATCTGGCTACAAAACTCTTAGTGAATGCAGAAATATGAACTAGAACATACTAACGAGAAATCAATTTTCAGAGGGAGGGGAGAATGGGAATAAAGGGAGTAGGAGGGAGGTGAAGTAGGGTGGACGGTGGTTTAGGGGGGTGGGGTGGGCTGTAGGGGTGGGGTGGGTGATCCAGAGGTTGGGGAAGAGAGAGAGAGAGATGTATTTTGATGGCCCCTTTTGTGTTCCAGAACATTAGCATTCAACAGTCCAGAACTACTACGGCTTCTGTTTGTGGGGGTGTCTCCTTGCTACTCTAGTGTCTGGTGGACCCTAGGCAGGCATGTTTATAACACCCACCCACATGTAGGCCTTAGATGATTGGTCCAGGGTGGACATTTGACCCATCCGGAACCTAACAGGTTGTCACACTAGAAGCAGATTCCATAGTCAAGATGGTGTTGGGCAATGGAGCATGTATTACTTGGTCTTGGGGCCAACTGTGGGGGAGGAGAACCGTGCGCTTTACAGAGGCAAGTGTCTTTTAGAGGATGCCAGGATGAGGTCCCAGGAAGCAGAGAGGTGTGGAGAAGCAGAAAGGAGTTGATCCTGTGACCCCAGAGAAAGTGGCTGCCTGACCACTTTTCCACTTCCTGCAATTATGCTATGTGCAAATGCCCTTTACATAGATCCCCTTTTCCTTAAGCTAGCTTGAGTGGGTTCCTGTTCTGGGCACCCAGATTATTTCCAAGTCAGAAATTGGTACCAGGAGAACAGCTGTAAACAACAGACTATCAAAGAAAATGTTGGAACTGGCTGAAGAGGTGCATCAGGGGTGGCAGGTAGTAGTGATTTCTGTATCCCAAGAGTCCCCAGCAATGAACCGAATAGGAAGCTCATGGATGTTCTGAGGGAATTTTATCACAAGCAACAATCAAAACAAGCCTGGGGGTAAAATGACCCTTGGTCAGGAACCACAGAGGTAATGAGGGACTGAAGGAGCAGTCAGAACAGAAGAATCAGAAGAGGGAGTGTCACAGAGGCTGAGGAGAGGAGTTTCAAGAAAAGTGTGTTCAACAGCGCCCCAGGGCTGCAGAAGGGCCCCATAAGACGAGCTAAAAAGTGTCCACTGGGCCTGGTGTTTACTGTTGATCTTAGAGCAGATACAGGGGCAGAAGCCAAACTGCAGGCGACTGAGGAGTGAGTAGTAAGTGAGGAAGTGCAGTCCGTGGGGGGAGGCTCTTCTTTAAGGACCTTTGGCTGTGAAGAGAAGGAGTAAGGTGGGAAACACAGTTGAGAAGAGGGTTGTTTTTAATATGGGAGAAACGTGAACCATGGAGAAGGAAATAGCGGAAGAAAGCTCAAAAATACAAGACTGTGAAAGAATGAGGTAAATCCTGCATACTGTACTGGAGACATGTCCACCAGTTGTTAAATAAAAAGAAAAAATCATATAACAGGATCTCTTTTTTTTTGGTCAAACAAAATGCCCAAAAGTTCTGTAAGTGTATATACTATATATAATTATAGATTTATGTTTGAGTAAGCATAGAAAAAGATCTGGAAAGACATTCACCAAACAAGATATTACCAAGGGAGGGTGGGATCAGGGTTAGGGATGGGAGGCGGTAGGGTGTGGGGTGATGGGGGAGGTTGGGTGGGGTAGGGGGCAGAAGGGTGGAGGGCTTTTACATCTTTATATAATTCTGTGTTATGCAAAGTGAAATAATTAAATGTTCACAAAAATTAAAAAAAATAAAGTGAATTTGTTGGCTTGGGTAGGTTTGGAAAGGCCCCCTCTTCCTCTGGGACAGGAAGGGAGAAGGAGAGCACACACTGATCTGTGTGGTGGGGGTGGGGAACCGAGGGGGCTCCTGCCTGTGTGTCCCTGATGTAGACACCTGAGACACCTGAGAGAGTGAGGGCGGGAGGTCAGGGTGGGCTGTAGACTTCTGAGCGATGGTACTTTTTGGAATAGAGGAGAGACAGAAAAGAATCATCAAGCTCCATGGAGTGGGATAGGACCCAACTGAAAGAAAACCAAGAGGGAGGGCAGTGGGAGTCTGGGAGGAAAAAGAATGGGGTGTACTTCCAGAAGCGGCACCATACACATCTCTCAGGTGCTACAACTGCTTACCCACTCATTACAGCAAAAACAGCACATACAAAAAGAGAAAAGGCAGGAGGGAAGGGCAGAGATTTGTGCCTTCCTTCCCCTTCTAGACTTGTAGCGTATCTTTTCATTTGCTGCTCTGCTATGGGGAAGCTTAGCACTAGTTATACTTTGTTTTCACGTCTGATCAGCTAGGAGTGCAACCCAGTCTTTACCTGCAAATGCCAAAGAGTTTTAAACAAAATTCAACTTACTTCAGGTCTTTGATTTTACAGTATGGATTACACAGTGCTTGACAGAGGAAGTGTAGCCGAGACACTGGCAAATGACGCACTTGGAAGGACCTAAAAGAGACGAAAAACAAGAACAATTTAAAACTATTTTCCCCCCCAAAACAAAATGCTTATTTTGGCTTTTTTTTTTTTTTAAACCATGCTAGCACTTATTTACGTCTTCCAAAAACCTTGAGATGTATTACCCCGTTTTACAGATAAGAAAACTAAGGCACAAAAAAGTTAAGTAACTTGCCCAAGGTCACATAGGTAGGTGCAAGAACAAGGTCAATACTCAAGTCTGTCTGACTATAAAGCCATGTTACTACCTGCTAGGCATGAGGTAAGCATTTTACATATACATATTATCTTATTCAGTCCTTAACCCAGTGATATAGGTATTGTAATCACCATTTTGCAGGTGCTCAGAGAGGTCAATTAACTTGGCCAAGCTCTTTTTACAATATAACTAATTCTTGGTTGTCAGTACTAATAGAAGAATTAATGATAATACTTGAAAACTAGGGAAGTTCAATAGTAAACTCGAACTTAGCCAAAATGCTTGGGAAAGGGGTATCTTGGGTTAAATCCTGAAAAGAGTTTAGTCCTCTGATAAATAAGGGCTGAGGGTGAGAATTCCATCTAAGGCTGATTTTCTGGAAACCCAGAATGAACGCTTTTTGTTTCCCTCAGTGTTTAAAATCTTTCAAATGTATTAGTCTATCACCTTGCTTTATAATACACAGCTGGATTGAAGCTCTCATTAATCAATCAAGACCTCATAGCCAAGGTCCTTCATAATCTGAGTCCATTTAACCTGTCCTGCCCCTTCCCTATCTAGTCCCAAACACAAACTCTTGCCACCCCTTTCCTGCTCTCCCCACTTCCCTCAAACTCACATAGCCTATGCGTATTTCTACCTCCATGCTATTGCCCACTCAGGAAATACAACTATAAGAGATAAGACTCAGGTTAACGCACTCCTCCAGGTAGAGCCTTCTGCCCATTCTTCTCTCCAGGTTTCCTACCCCTCAGCTGGCCCAGCAATGGGCAGAGGCACTGTCCACCTTAACCAGAATATTGAGAACAGACTTAAGACCAGGGGCATTTTCTAGATAACACAAGTGTAAGTCTTCTTTAGTAAGATAGTCAATAAGTCAGTAGAGCTATATTTTATAGTGTACAAAGTCCATATTACAAAAGTGGTTTACCTAAGCCTCTTTGAACTTCAGCTCTCATGCCTCTGTGAAGTTGCAAGGTTTGGTGGAAAGAACCTAGGCTTTACAGTGAGATACATAGAACTTTTATTCCTAGTTCTGCCCCTTACTAACCTTGAGCTGAGGCCTCAGTGATGAAGTATATGTAGAACATAATGACAACCAATCCAATATTAGGTTTACAACCTTTTCCAGAATGGTCTTCTATACCAAAACAGCAGAGTCTTCAATTATAATGCTGATAACCTTACATATTCATAATACTTTATAAAGCACATGCACAGAGTGAACATGAAGATTAATACACATTTACAGTGGCTAGCACAGTGCCTGGCACACAGTAAGTACACAAAAATGTTAATTTTCCCTCGGTGTTTACTTAAGCCAGTGTTCAATACAGGAAAGATACAAGTAGTCCCCAGGTTATGAATGAGATCCGTTCCTAAGTGTGTCTAAGTTAAATTTGTAGTTAAGTCAGAACAGGTGCATACGGTTCTTATTTAGCCTTACTTTAGTGCAAGAGGAGCCCAGGTGGCTCACTGGTTAAGAGCTTGGCTACTAACCAAAAGGCTGGCAGTTCAAATCCACCAGACGCTCCTTGGAAACCCTATGGGGCAGTTCTACTCTGTTCTATAAGGTCGCTATGAGTCAGAAGCAACTCGACGGCAATGGTCTTTTTTTTGTGTGTGTGCAAGAAAGGAGCCTTGGTGGCACAGTGGTTAAGCATTCATTCAGCTGCTAACCAAAAGGTCGGCAGTTCGAATCCACCAGCCGCTCCTTGGAAACCCTTTGGGGCCGTTCTACTCTGTCCTATAGGGTCGCTATGAGTCGGAATCAACTTGACAGCAATGGGTTTGGTTTGGTTTTTGGTTAGAGCAAGAAAAGGCTCCAAGCCTTTTCAATGATTTAAAAGCTGCACGTGCAGCAAGTGAAGGTGATTGTGATGAAGAATTTGTTGTGAGCAGGGGTTGGTTCAATCGTTTCAGTTAGGAAAAATTTACATAATATTAAAGGGCAAGTATGAGTTGTCCATTAAATCGGACATTTGTAACCCAGGGACATACTGCATTCAATAAATCCTTACTGTGTTTACTGACATAAAACATGGAAAGCTGAGATGATTAGTTTTATTTATTGGCAATGCTATGAATGACTGTGTGTCCAAATACATGAAATGAACAAGTAGGCCCATTGGTTCTGAAGGCCAAAAAACTAGAGGAAAGACAGGAATATACTCACTGATTAAGTATCAAGGCTGGGGGCCTGAATGCTGAGATTCGTTCTTCATCATCAAATCCAAGTAGGTGCTGACACTTCAGAGACACTGACAGGTTACTGTGACTGCTTTTTACACAGTAAGACATAGCCAGAATGTCCATTTTTGTATAGGTAGGTTGAAGCAGTATAATTGACTGTAATTCATCAGTTATCCTTTTTGCATATTCTTCTTCCTGAATCTCATACAAACAGTGAAACAAGTCTATTTGCTCAAGCTGTAACCTAGAAGATTTATCCTTTATTTCTCTTTCAGTCCATTTCAATAATTCCTCTCGAAGTCCTGGAGAGATTTTTCTTCCAAATGTAGCTTCCACAGTCTTTCCGTTTCCTTTACGTAAGAGGCCAAATAAGAATTGTATTGTTAGTGATGAAAAACCTTTTCCATATTGTTGGAATATTTCTTGCCACGTTTTCCCTACCTGATCGAAAAACATCCAGCTGTTGTCATTCTTCAGGGCATAAAACACAGCAGTCAAGAACTCTTGGAAACTGAAGTGAAGGAAAGTATAGACATGGACACCTCGTTCAGCTTTTCTCAAAAAGTGATTGAGAAAAATGCAGTTGGTATCATACACTCCTATCCCATGTCTTCTGAGGTCACTAACTTCAAACTGAACTTGCTTGTTCTGCAGTCCCTCTGCAGCCAAAGAGCAAAGGCCCCACAGGCAACTTTGTCCTTTCCATACTGAGATGCCTGTAAGGGTTTTGAGGCACTTGGAAAAGTAGAACAGATACACATCAGTCATGGTCTGAAGTGACCTCATAAGAGCCCTGTCACCATCTCCCTGTGACTGCAGGACACTGCAGATCATCCAGGAGACAATGGGGAGAGAAGACATGATGTTAAGGGCTTCATTTTCTCGCAGACTATAAAAGACTCTCATTGCCACATTAGCACCTGAAAACTGACTCAAGAAATATGCTCTCTTTTCAGCTTCTGTAAACCATAGAATCTCTACCTGGATAGGTTGTTTTAACAGAGAGTGTAGCTTCTTCATGGCCGTAGGCCGGGCAGTTATCAAAAGGGAGGATTCGGGAAACAGTTTTTTCCTCACAAAACTGCACAAGAGGGTTTCTACTGGTTTCTTCTCCTGGGGGTTAGCATTAAGATCCTCCTCCTGGTCAGCTACAGAGTACTGCAGCTCAGGGAATCCATCAAGAATGAACAGAAGCTTCTCTGGATATGTCAGAATAATGTCCAAGATTGGTCCATTTATATCTTGAAAAGTATTAGCAATCAGGTCAGCAGCACTAACGTTAGCAATATGGCTTATTTCTCTGCAGTTGATGTAGATGAGATAATCAAACCTGCCTGGAGTAACCATTCCTGCTGCCCAGTCAAACATGAACTTGTGCACCACAGCTGTTTTCCCAATCCCAGCACACCCTTGAAGCACCACGGTTCGGGATGAGCTGGAGCCCTCTTCATCAGGATCAAAAACATGTTCCATCTCAATGAAATGTTCTTGTTGAGGAATTCCACACGGTGTCTCTTCTGATATTCCATGTTCCTTTACAAGAAGCAGTTGTGATTCTACATGCTTGCCATGGTGATAACATTTATCGATGCCTATTTTTAGGTATTTTTCTTTTAGATGTTTTCTAAATATTTCCCGGTAATCTAATGAGGTGACACCAAGAATTAGTAATCACAGAATCCTAGACAACAATACAAACAACTATAACACTATCATCACCACCACCTCCACTTGGATGCCCCACAGACTCCTCAAACTTTCCATGTCTAAACCTGAACCCTTGATTTTTACAACCCCTCTGGGTCGCTATGGGCTGAAACTGACTCGATGGCACCTGACAACAACAACTCAAAAAAAACCCAAAAACTCTCCCCAGGCACCTCATCTCAGTTAAATGGTGCTACCTAGTTACGCAGGAACTGTAAGGAGTCATTCTTTCTTTTTCCTTTCAATCCTCCACATCCACTCAATAAGCAACGCCTATCATTTATATAGAAACTCTGTGGCGTAGTGGTTAAGAGCTACAGCTTCTAACCAAAAGGTCAGCAGTTTGAATCCACCAGGCGCTCCTTGGAAACCCTGTGGGGCAGTTCTACTCTGTCCCGTAGGGTCACTATGAGTCAGAATCAACTCGATGGCAATGGGGATTATTTATACCTCCAAAAACCCCTCGAATCCATTTATTTATCACTATGTTCTCAAATACCACCCAAGTCCAAAAGCACTATCAACTCTCTCTTGGACTGCTGAAATAGCCTTTTACTCTTGCCCATGTACTGGCTCTTCTCCACATAGCAGCCAAATTGATCTAAAAGTATCACTGCCCTGACCAAAACCCTTCAAGGGCTTTCCACTGCACTTGGTGTAAAATCCAAAATCCTTACCTTATCCTCCAAAGCATTATATTATCTGGATCCTATCCAGCTCCCCAGCCTCATTTTCTATCATTCTCCTTCTCACTCCCTACAGTAAGGGTACACTAGCCTACTTTTATTTTTGTGATAGAAATAACTACAACCAAACATATGCACACTGACCTACTTTTAGTTTCTCAAAAATGCCATGTTCTTTCCTACTTCAGGGTCTTTGCACTAGTTATTCTCTCTGCCTTGAGCATTCTTCCTCCTGCTCTTCTCGTGGATAGCTCCTCATTCTTCAGTTTTCAACTAAACATTACTTTCTGGAACGGGACTTGCCTGACCATCCAATTTAAAGCAAATCCTCTCTATTCGTCCCCATCCCTGCACCCTATTTTTCCCTTCACAACACTTATCACAATTTATAACTGCCTTGTTTGCTTGTTTACTTGTTCACTGTCTGTCTTTCCCGTTAAACTATCATCTACATCTGTCTTCTTCACCAGAGTACCTTGAGAATCCAGCATGGTGCCTGGCATATAGTAGACACAATAAATATTTATTGAATATGGCTAGAGATATGAATGAAAAACAAGTCATTTATTATTATTGCCTATTCTGTGCCTAGGAGCCCTGGTGGCGCAGTGGCTGATAACCTAAAAGTTGGTGGTTTGAATCCACCAGCTGCTCCGCACGAGAAGGATGTGGCAGTCTGCTTTTGTAAAGACTGACAGCCTTGGAAACCCTACGGGGGCAGTTCTATTCTGTCCTATAGGGTCGCTATGAGTCGGAATCGACTTGTCAGCAACAGGTTTGGTTTTTGGTTTTTTATTGTGCCTAGTACCAAATTTCATGGCTAGAATAGACAAATCTGCTTCTGGAATGATTTAAATCAGAGGTCAACAAAGTATAGCCCCATGGGATAAATCAGGTCAGTAGCCATTTTTGTAAGTGAAGTTTCACTGGAACACAGCCACGCCCATTTGTTTACATATTGTCTAGCCATGTACTAGGTCCTTTACATACATTATCTGATTTAATTCTCACAACAATCCCATGAAGTAGGTACTATCCACGCTTTATAGATGAGGAAACTGAAACCTATAACCAGGGCTGACTTCATGGGTGTGCCATCTGTGCAGTTACACAGGTCCCCGTACTCAGAAGGACCCCATGCATGGTTTAATGCTCTGCTATTACTATCTTGAAATTCTTAATAATATTTGAACAAGGGGTTCCACATGTTGATTTTGCACCACACCCCACAAATTACGTATCAGGTCCTGCTTATAGCATTAGGTAACTTGTCCAAGGTTTGATGGCTAGAAAGTGGCAGAGCCTTAATTTAGATTCAGGTCTGTCTGAAGCCATGATCTATGTGCTTAAACATTATACTACATAGTTTTTCACCTTCTATAACTAGAAAAAATAACCCAAGGAGTTAGTCATCAAGTTCAAACTTCTATTAAGTGAATGTCTAAGTCAGCATTTCCCAAATAAGGGTATCCTGGAATACTATTCTGCAAGATACTAATAGCAGAGTTGTGAAAAACGTATTCTGTGGTCAAATAAGTTACAGAAATCCCCTTTTAGAGTTTCTCAATGCAAATCAACATATGAAGGGTTCTGAGATGTCATACAGTAAAATAAATTGTCTTATTTTGTTTAATCCTGCATTTTCTTGTCTTAAATGACAACAGAATCCTTTTGTAAAAGCACAGTTATTAACTTTTGGAAAATATCGTTCTGTACAACTCAGTTTGGAAATGCTGATCTAGATCAGAGTTGGCAAACGGTTTCTATAAAAGTTTGTAAATAGTTTAGGCTTTACACGCCATTGGATCTCTGTTGCAGTTACTCAATTCTGTTGTTGTTAGGGGCCATCGAGTTGATTCTGACTTATAGCGACCCTATAGAACAGAGTAGAACTGCCCCATAGGGTTTCCAAGGAGCAGCCAGTGGATCTGAACTGCCGACCTTTTGGTTAGCAGCCGAGCTCTTAACCACTTCACCACCAGGGCTCCAATTCTGCCATAGAAGCATGAAAGCAGACATAGACAATATGTAAACAAACAGATGGGCTGTGTTCCAGCAACACCTTTACTCACAAAAACAGGCTGCTGACCTGAATTAGTCCATGGGGCTATAGTTTGTTGACCTCTGATTTGGATCATTCCAGAAGCAGATTTATCTATTCTAGCCATGAAGTTCTCTATATCTAGGGGCTTGACCACCACCATCAGCCGTCCTCCCAGCATTTGAATACCCCGATGGTGATACAGAAGTCCTATCTGCCATGACAGTCTTGGGCTTCATAGATAATGTCAAGAAAATCAACGACTGTTGTCCCAGTGAATATGGGGGAGGAAATGGGAGAAGAGTACGGATCAGCAGCTGGTTTTGTGGGAGACACTATTCCCCAAACAGCAAAAGGGATAAAAGAGAAAAGACATCCACCTGTGAGCTCCCTCCATGAAAATGAAGCCAGAGAACTTGAAGTGGCTGTGGGAGTAAAAGAGCTCACATTAATAGCACAAATATACATTCATACCCAAATATGAAATATATAGAAATTCACCCACACTGCTAGTCATTCATGCTGTTCCCCAAACAGAAATACAAGGAAGTAAGACACTTCAGTAACACCAATTCTAACCCACAAACATATTTTACATCTTATGTCCAACAGAAAGTAAACATAAGAACTTCCCACACACATATATTTAGAGTGTGAAGATTTTAATTTATATAGTCAATAAGGAAAACTCTAGGCATGAATTTAAAAGTGTGCACATTATCTGAATGATTGTTTTCTGGTATTTTGCTTTCCACTGAACATTAGCCCATTATTCAGGCTTCTGTTGAACCTCATTTGTTAACAGTATAGAATAGGTATTGCCGAACAGATGTACACAATGACCTACATTCAAATATAGAGGCACACACACTCAATTCAAACATTTAGAAATATAGATATATAGATTACAAAATACACAAGCACACACACATAACTTCATATTCCTTTTTAAAAAATACTTGTACACCTTTTAAAGCAAAAGTGAGACTTAGACTTGGGAGAAGGTGTGACTAGATGAGTACTAACTCAACAAGTGGGTGGGGAAAGTAGGGTCTGGAAAGGCAGATATTAGAGTGTCACAAAAGTGGGCAGGAAAGTGAGAGGTTTGCTGAGAATAACCAGTTTCTGTACCCTACATTTAAACATCCTTGGAGCTCAGGAATTAGCCACAAGGGGAAGGCCTTCAGTAATCCTTCACTCTGTGCTTTTTTGTTCTGTTTCCTGTGAAAAGCTGTGGTCACAGCAAAGGGGGAGACATAAGGTCTTTTACGGCTATAAATGCTTTGGGGAGTATGGAAAACACCAGAAACACAGTTAACTCTTCTCCTTTCTATCTTTTTCTTCATTTTGGATAATGGACAGTTTCAGGGTATTCTTAATGGGTAAATACTATATCCATTGTAATATATTAATATACACACACATACTCATTCAACAAAATACTGATTCAGAAGAATCCTAAAGGCCATGGAGAAAGGAAATGGAGGAAAGAGAATGAGCAGGATTATCTAGATTACACACTTTTTACCTCATTCAGTTACTCACTTTTCTCTGAAGATAATAAACTCCAGGTACAAGCAGGTTCCATATCTTTTCTTTTCTTTTGATTATTCATCCTGGTGAATTAAGAAGACTGTAATCCAAAACAGGAATAATGATTGTAAGGCCTAGCAGAAACTCAGAGTGAAAAAGTAACTCAAGAAAGACTACTCACTTAAGCCATTACAGAGTTGGGGAAAAGAGAAAGCCCAATAACCAAGAAGATAATGGGGGTGAGACCAGTGGTGGGGGTCACATGAAGACAGACCAATGCATTACATGCATATTATCTTATACAACACAAATATTATTTTATACAATTACTGTTTAAATCAGTTAAGAAAGGAGAAAAATATGCATTCATACTCTCCTTTATAATTACATAATTATTTTTATTGGTACTCTTTTTTTCATGTAGATTCAAATTACCATCTGGGGTTACTTTCTTTTAGCCTGAAAAACTTCCTTTAGTATTTCTTGTAAAGTGGGTCTGCTAGCAACAAATTTTCTCAGGTTTATTTAGCTAGAAAAATCATTATTTCACCTTCATTTCTGAGAGGTAGCTTTGCTGGATATAAGATTCTTCACTGCCTTTTTTTTTTTGCTTTTGAGCAGTTTGAAAATGTTGTCCCACTGCTTTCTGACCTCCATTGTTTCTGGTGAGAAGTCAGCTGTTAATTTTATTGGGATTCCCATGTAAGTAATGAGTTGTTTTTCTGCTTTCATGATTTTCTTCTTGTCATTGACTTTCAGTATTTTTACTATGATGTATCTGTTTGTGGATCTCTGTGCATGTATCTTTTTTAGAGTTTGTTGCACTTCCTGGATGTGTAGGTTATTGTTTTTCAAAAAATTTGGGTACTTTTCAGCCATTATTTCTGTGAATATTTTTTCTTCTCTTTTCTCTTTCTCCTCTCCTTCTGGTACTCCTATTATGTGTATATTGGTGTGCTTAATGGTGTCTCACATTTTTCTGAGGCTCTGTTCATTTTTATCCATTATTTTTCTCTCTGTTTGGCTTATATAATCTCTATAGATCTACCTTCAAATTTGCTAATTCTTTCTTCTGACAGTTAAAATCTACTGTCAAGTCCCTCCAGTGAATTTTTTATCCCAGTTACTATGCTTTTAAATTTCAGAATTTCCATTTGGTTCTTTTTTATAATTTCTCCTTATTTCTATTCTCTATTTGATGGAACACCGTCATCAAACTTTCTTCTACATTTTTAATTATGTTTCCCTTTAGTTCTGTGAACCTATTTATAATGGCTAATTTGAAGTCTTTTAATATTAAGTCCAATATCTGGTCACTCTCATGGGCAGTTTCCGGTGCCTGATTTTTTCCTTGGTGTACAGGTCATATTTTCCTGTTTCTTTACATGCCTCATTATTTTTTGTTAGAAACTAAATATTTTAGATAATATATTGTAGCAACTCTTGAGTACTGCCTCCCACCCCCCATTTTAATTACCTCCACTTAACACCAGTGGTGAGGGAGGGATTCCTGTCCCAAGGTTATGGGGATGGCCAAACACATGACACTGGTCAGATGAGATCAACAGCAGTTTATTAGTCACATATACTCACAGCCCAGGGAAGAAATGACTCATTGCACTGTGCCACACAGGGACACATGAGGGTTGCTCTCAGGAACAGAGTGAACAAGCAAGTACTGGGGGAATCAGGTTTTGTAGTAACAAGAAGGTAGGGTGATCCCTAGATCTCATGGGAGGATGTGATTGGATTGTTTGAATAATTCCATGGGCTGGGAGGGGATGGAAGCCCACTGCTCAGGAATAAGTAGGCACTGTGCCTGGTCTCAGGAGCCCTGGTGGCACAGTGATTAAGTGCTCGGCTGCTAACCAAAGGGTCAGTGGTTCAAATCCACCAGCCATTCCATGGGAGAAAGATGTGACAGTCTGCTTCCATAAATATTTACAGACTTGGAAACCCTATGGGGCAGTTCCATCTGTCCTACAGGGTTGCCATGAGTAGGAATCAACTCAATGCCAAGTGCATTTGGTTTTGGGTTTGGTGCCTGGTCTCTGTGATAAGGAGGGTTGTTTGGATAGGGTACCTTATCTGGGGGAGCAGAGTGAGTGGAGGGAATTGCAGTTAGGCCATTTGAGGCTCTCATGATTTTACCAGATCTCAAGCACATAATATTGAATCTTAATTTCAGGCCTTACACCACACCCGACTTCGGGGCTTGTTGTTTGCTTGTTTATTTGTTTAGTGGGTGGCTGGATTATTTTGGTAAAGTTTATTTGCCTGCCCCCCAGTGGTAAGCCTCTGATGTTGCTCCTCAGAAAGGGGTAATTTTGGATATGCCCAGTCACCCTGGGATGACACTGATATTGTGAGAGCGCTCATCCTCTTCCTCTGACCACAGCCAGCTGTTAAACTCCACTAATTGCCAGCTGATTGCTCTACTGCTTTCAACAAAGCCTTGGGGGCATAAATTGCTCTACAAAATAACCCAAACAAATCGTGGCTCCATTGAAGAAATCGTTTCTGAGGTCAGTGTTTGATACTTGTTCTGACTGCAGCAGAGTCTCTCCCAGCTGTCTTATTTTCTGGTGCGCTCCTACAAATTAACAGCGTACAGTCTAAACTGTTTCCATTAAATCCACAAATCTCCTCCCAACTGCCTTTCACCACAACCTCCACTGTTCTTGAGAGTGCCTTTAAGCTTTAACTTCTACACATCATGTTTCAAATTAAGTCAGTTCCTTTGAAAGTGATTAGGATCTGATTTTATGCAAAAGCTCTGAGTCTGGTGGCTATAGAGCTAAAGGTAGTGACAATGGCAAGCTTCTCTTTGAGTGGCACTCCTGCTCTAGGAACTGAGTGCTCAGTGGAGAGAGGGCAGAAGCCTGAGGTCCTCTCAGCTGGCCCCTACTGGTGTGGAACCACAACCTCGTAGCCGGGGTGATGACAATCAGATCTCAGTATTCTCAGCATGCCACACACAAGGTAGAGCTTCTATCCCACAAGTGGAGGCTGGACAGAAGATGATAAACCCCACCTCTTTACTGCAGTCACCCAGGACTTAGCTTCAGCAATAGGTAGCTGGCAGCAGGATGAGACATGCTGAAATCCTGCTCCTCCTGGGAAGCGAGCTCTCTGGCTGGGAGCTGGGGGAGAGCGAAAGCCCTGTGTCTTGGCTACAGCATTCTGGAATGGAGTCTCCTCAGTGAGCTGAGGGTGGTGCAGAGGAAGCAGTCTTGGTTCACATACCACAGGCTCTTGTCTTTCTTACCAAATTTTCTTGAATAGATGTTTCTTTATTTGCTGTTTGCCCTTAGGGCCATTTTCAGAGGCTTTAAATGATATCTAAAATATTATATATATATACATATATATTTTTCACCAGTTTCACCGGGGAGCAGGTTAGTGGAGTTCCTCACATTGTCATATTGTCATGCCAGAAGTTGATCTCCCTCTAGTTCCATTTCTCTAACTACTTATGAAACTTAAGTATATTTTTCTCCTTTCTGAGTTTGTTTTATTATTTTTAAAATGGCTGAGGGAATGTTAGATCAAGTTTCTTTCCATGTTTAACGCTGTAAAATCAGTTGTCCTCAATCCTAGCTGCACATCAGAATCACCCACATACCACCCTCCAAAACTTTTTCCTTTTTCACAGTAGTATTTATCACCTTCTCACATACTTGATAATTTACTTTTGTATTATGTTTATTGTTCACTGTCAGTCTTTCCCACCACGTGGTAAACTAGAATTATTGGCCCCAATTCCCAGCCTTTACCATGTACACCTACTCTTCATTTATCGATTATCTTGTTATCAGACGTTTTACATTTATAATAGTAAAAACTCTACTATCCGACTATTCTGAACATTAACATTATGTCTGGCAGTAATGAATGCTGAGGTGTGAGGCAAGAGTAACGCTGGCTGTGATGGTTAAGGTTATGTGTCAACTTGGCTAGGCCATGAGTCTCAGTGGTTTGGCAGTTATGTAATGATGTAATTTGGCAGTTATGTAATGATGCAGTCATCTTCCATTTTGTGATCTGATGTGGTCATCCTCCATTTCTGCATAACATTGATTTTTGCATAATGACCTGGTCTTTGGAACCTAACCATGTCAATAAGTGAGGAGTGGGTGTACTTCGCAGTTTTACAAGAAAGTAAAGCTTATTTTCCCACTCCTTGTGTTTGAGCTGGGCCATGAGATTTGCTTTGGCTAATAGAGTGTACACATATGTGACTCAAGCAAGGGCTTACAATGTGCTGGCATGGTTATACATCTCCTCTCATGATTCTGCCACTGACATGATAGGCAACACTGGAGAAACAAGGCCCAGTTAGTCCCCTAGTTGTAGGAAAATGAGAAATACATGAAGCAGAGCGACCCCAGCCTCAATCAGAGCTGCCTAACAGAGCCCTGTCTAATCATTTGAGCCACAGCTGACCTTCACATATGGGAGAATAAGTGCTTAATAAGTGTTTAATACGTGCTTAATTTTTTCATGCCACTGAGATTTTTGTGGTTGTTACATATCATTGGGGCAATAGCTGACTGATACACTTTGCTAGAATGTAAATGCCTAGAAAGTGTTTGGCACAGAGTAGACATTCATTAAGTATTTATTGAATGAATAAATAAATAGAAGCTTTTTGAAAAAATCCAATGTCTGGCCCACATTGATAATAAACTAAATAAAAACATTTTTTATGAAGCTCTTTTTTTTTTTCTTCTTAAAAGCTCCCCAGGTGATTCTAATACACAGCCAGGGAAGAGAGCCATTGATCTAAGACTTGGTTATTTTTTAAAGTGGAAAGATGGTGTATTGGTGAAGCATACAGGGTTTGGAATCAAACTTGATTTTTTTGAATGTGGAAATCTACATATAGGATTATGTCACTTGTGGACAGAGGTAGTTTTCCTTCTTCCATCCTGATCTGGATGTCTTTTTCTTGCCTAATTGCTCTGGCTAGAACTCCCAGTACAATGTTGAACAGCAGTGGTGAAAATGGGTATCCTTGTCTAGTTCCTCATCTTAGGGGAAAGATCTCAAGTTTTTCATGTCTTTCACCACTGAGTTTGATGTCAGCTGTGGGTTTCT